AAACGTGAACCAAATGTTGGAACGTTTTCCGAACTCCCATCTCCCACAATCCTCATGCTAGACGGCCACTCGATCATCTTTCTCCCAAGCGGGGATGCGAAACTCATCCTAGTTTCACACCTATTTCTACTCTTGGATACTTGATCGATTCTTCCCCACTTAGATTCGACTAAGCCTTCCCGGCACGTGAGAATTGAAGGATTCCCAATCCTTCCTGCTTTCTAATAATCTACTGTTGACAACATGTGCTTACCAACGCTAACAATCAATTACCAGCCAAATCCTAAGATCGACCATCCTCTGAAATCTTGAAGAGTACTCTTGAAATCTGGTCCAGTCCGACACCTTGACCCACCTCCCATGCTAGCGACTAGAAACCTTAACCTCCACTCTGGCCGACGAATCCTTGTATAACCACTAAACTCTAATCAAACACGAACCATGCAAAAAGTACAATTCCCTTGGAACATCCAATAATCAAACACTTCTGTGTCTAAACCTGTATCTTCCTGCTACCGCTCCTCTCCTAGTTTCAGTGGTGATAGAATCCAGAAGTTCTCCCTTAGGCCACTACCGATCATACCAAAACAGATGATGAAACCACTATATCTCATCGATATGGGTGGACTAGCTTGATGAAGCTAACCACAGGCCTTCCACATAATAACCCTAACCGATCTCTACTACGAACCAAGAGGACACTGAACACCCCGATCCAGCAAAAGGGAAACGACCTTTTACTAACTACTCAACAATTCACGGTATGCAATTGGCATATGACGATATTTGATGATATAACCCAACAGAAGCAAAGAAATAAACCAGGGATACAATTACCCAACCCGCTACAATATTCTAAACTAAAGCAAAATTCTCACAACAATGTGCCGATAAAACTGAAAGAAGGCAAGGTTACATACCCGCAACATCGCCTGCTGGAGTCCTGACTTCTCCTGTCTGACACTGCAGGGCCTGAATCCTTCTGCTGATATGACCAACCCCGCCACACTTGTAGCAGCCTAAACCCCTGGAACGACAAACTCCCTTGTGCACTTTCCCGTACGTGATGCACTGACTCCGGCCCTGCTGGCCTTTCACCCGATGTTCATAAGTCTTGGGTCTCTTCCTAGGACCCTCTACTATATGCACCTGGTACGACCCTCTCTTCTCAAAGTGCTCCAAATCGATCTCTCATCCTCGGAATTTGGAAGTCATATCCTCCAGGGTCTGACACCCTGTCACGCTCACTATCTCACTTGCCAATAGCTGAGCTGCAACGGCTGGAACATCCTTTGCCCCCAAACCGGGTCACAAAATCCTCCCCGAAGCTTCTCAGATTCTCCAAGACTCTCAGCGATTCAAGTATAGCTGTGCTTTCAGTAGTACGGGCCCAATAATACATTCCATACCTATCCATACTTTCGTGAGCAATCCTCCCGAATCCTCCAAGTCACTTCCTCAAACTGATACACCCAAGTCTCACTAAACCTCACTACTAACCCACTAAAGCATATCCTAGGCTTTCCTAGGTTCCCGATCCCACCCAGTCCTCAGCTGCTGAAAGATTCCCAGTAATGTCAACTAGCTACCTCATGAATATAGCCACATGCAGCAGAGATCAGATAATCCTTTGAGTAAAAGATTCAATCCTAGAACGGTTAGACTCAGAAAAGAGCTGTGTAATAGGGCCAAGTACATCACTCTGAGATTATCCAGCCAGTGCCACATGTGACTTAGCATACTCACTTAGTAGCTAGCTCACATTGCTAAGAGTCCCATAAAGCACAAAGCAAGCAGGATTTAGACAATGGAAAAATCTAACCAACATACTTCAATCAGACCATTCTATCCTCTTATCAGGAATCTATAATGGCATGAGATTCCAAGGCTCATACAATCATGCATAACCTAAATAGGCCATCCTATCACTGACTGATCAGTACTAGCATGCATGTCTACAAGCACATACAATAGACATATAAGGCATCCTTCCTAGATCCTTAGCCCTAATCTAGCATGCAGTTCACATATTCTCAATTCATATCATATCATAACATAACATAACATGTATGTGTATCTTAGAATTTCCACCTTGTTGAAGGTCTAGTGGTGCTACCCGAAGACTTAAATGAATAGCCATCGCTGTTAAGAACAACTGAGATCCAATGAAAATTTTCGCTTAGCTTCTAGTCTTTGACATCAAAAAAGAAATCCTTCCTTGATTGCCATCGAGATTTCCTCCCCAACTAGCCCCTTATTAATCTAAAATGAAGGAAGAAGTTCGGGAAACCGTCAGGCCCCACTCAAACTAGCTGCCCTGCCACCTTAGAATTCTAAATAAGCATTTCTTAAAAAAAAGAAAGAAGCCCGAATGATCAAGCTCAATATCATATGGGTTGTGTTCTACCAACGAGCAGCCATGAGCCTAAAGAAAGCACTGAGGTTTGTCCGGTTTTACTGAAGACAAAAAGAGCCTTAAATTGTCCGGCACCTTCGCGCGTATATGTACGTTCCGTCGTTAAAGTGCTCCTACCTTTCCTTTTCAAGGAGAAGCGGTTGAGAGCAATCGAGAAGAGCTACTTGACTCAAAGACGAGAGGAAGCGAGTGAAAAGGAATGATAGGGGGAGGAAGATGACTATCTAAAGCTAATAGTCCAATAGGTCCTTGTAAGGCGAGTGGAAGGAAGTGACTCGACCGATAGGTTGAGGAAGTCGGGCAGGTCTGGAGGATCCAGATAGAGGGGGGGTGACTTTTTTCTTTACTCAAAAGCCTAATGAAGCCTTCTTTAATGGTTAGACTCTAGCCTCTAATAAAGATCGAGATAAGGGCATTTCTTTGAGAAAGTATAGGAGAAGCTTGATGCTTCAGATCCAACCCCGACAACTCAAACTTGTTTTTTGGCTAGCAAGAAATAGGCACTTGTTCTTACATATCTAAACTCTATTTTGGCTTGGGATAATGTTCAGACCTTGGCTGTCACAACAAGCAACCAATCAGTTCCACTCCCAAGGGCGGGTAAAACGAGGCCTCGACGGATGGGAACTCCTACTCTACTATAGTTTTGCGATCTTTAAGCGGGATTTTAAGTCATCTATCCTTTATCTTTCCCTAGCGAGTGAAGAAAGAGTGACGTTTTGAACGAGTGTTGAGCGAGTGAAGTGCCCCGTAAGCTTTAAGGGCGAGCTATATGTATCAATTCCGTGAGCAGCAATTGAACTGAACGTAAAAAGTGCATCCAACAGGAAATCGAACCTACGAATTTGCCCGGCTGGGCACTTTAACCATTCAACCATGGATGCAAAGAGACTCAGCGAGTGAACTAGGTTTTGGTACTCCTTCTTGAGCTTCTATTTCTTCCGTTAAAGGATATTCAAGAAAAAGATGGAATAAGAAGACGTGTTTCCAGAACGAAACGGTTGGCATGACAGTGTGAGGTGCTCGCCGCCCAGCGTCCTCAAATCATTCAATGCCATCAGCTGAGAATGTAGATCAGTCATCAAGAAGTAAGGCCCAGAGAGCACACTGACATTCATTGCTATGTTCGATCTGAGTACAATCGAATTGCTAAGTTACAGCTACTCCTAGTGCGAAGAAAAAGATATTGGGGAAAACTTACTTAAGCTCAGCTAATTGCACGCATCACACTCCTTGTTCTTTTCAAAGTTCTTTTCCCTTTTCAAATTCTTTCCAAACTTCTTTTTATAAAATGATTTTTCTTTTGAAAATTTTCATACCAAGTCCTCAGTTTGAGTCCAGACACACCCGAGAGTGTGCCCGAATCCCTCAAACCAGGGCTCTGATACCAACTTGTAACATCCCAAAATTTAAGACCAAAAATTTCATTTATAATTAAGTTATTATAAAACCAATAGTATAAAAACATCCATAATAACATCCCATGTCGAAACCAAAGTGTCAATAATCAAAACATGTTATCATAAATCAATATCAAAGTGTAATCCCAAAGATCTCATGTGTGGAAAACATAGTATGATGCGCTGCGATCATGCCGACTCCTTTCCTTTTTGCAAAATAAGTACCTGGAACCAAAACTGAAAACCGTAAGCACGAAGCTTAGTGAGTTCCCCCATCATACCACATACCATACAACAATCATACTGTCTAACATATCCGGGTACTGGACTACCCCTTCGGTCTTTTTCAACCGGTAACTGCCTAGCATATCAGGGTACTGGCCTGCCCCTTCGGTCTCTTGCAACCGGTAACTTGCCTAGCATATCAGGGTGCCGGGCTACCCGTTCGGTCCTTTCGACCGGTACCTCGCCTAGCATATCAGGGTACTGGTCTACCCCTTTGGTCCTTTCGACCGGTACTGAAGACTATTTCACCCCTACTTCTACCATATAACATCCTAGCTCATAAACACTGCTGAAGTCCCGCGAATAAAACTCTAGTTGCTGGATGACAGATTCCCGAACTATCAACATCAAAATAACACCCAATTAATAATTGAGTCCCAACACGTAACCATAAGTCCATGCTTAGGGTAAAAGACTACCTTACCCCCATCTTAGCTTGATTCAAGCTCAAGGCCCAATCCAAAGGTCCAAAAGTCAAACTATGAATCAAAGCCCAACATATGACCCAATTTTCCAAATTGGGCCCAAACCTTTACATAGTCTTACCCTAAAGCCCAACCATTTATTTCTTTTGTCTTGGAAATACAAATTTGAGTTAGGATGAAGTATTTACAAAACATCTCGTTGTTTGCTATGTAGATGCCGTGAGCAAAACCTGAAGAAACCGATTATAAAGATTAATGTATACAAAAAAATATTAATGATTAAATATATACAAACTGAAAATTATATTACCTTATTAAGTCATTTTCTCGACTTAACCTGATAATAAAATAAACAATTTAAATGGTCTAACAAGAAAAAAAATCGACAAAATAAAAATATATTACATTATTAATTCATTTTTTTTTAATAAAAGATACCATACCTTTTTAGGGCATTAAACATAGATGTACCGAATACGATCTATTTGAAAATTCCCGAGAAATAACTCCGCGACTTTGGTTTCAGATAAAGGCAGCCATCGTTGTTTGATTGATTTGAGTAGTAACATAGAGCAAACCGTTACATGTGCTTCCATTTGTTGTCCCCAATTCCCACAAATTTGCCCCCTTCGATCTTAATGAGCAGAAACCACATCACCAGTCACAAATTCATCTTTCTTTCTCCAAGCAGACATCTTTCTTGTGTTTCAGGAGCTCAAAATACCACTAATACGCGCTTTTCTTCCCTCCTCACCCTTTCCCCAAATCAACTCATACTCGATTGAAGTCCATAACCCAACTGACACTGATTTTGTTGCTTAATAGAAGATCGCCGAATATAGGTTGCTGATTTTTGTTTTTGTTATTCGATCGGCTATCAGTGATGGTGAGTTGTTGATTCTTCATTTTTTATGATGGATTTCTGTAGAAATCGCAGCTTTGGTTTTGAAATGGTAATTGCTTATCTAGTTTCCGAGTGATGGTGATGTGTTCTGCATGATATTGATCCGGCTGAGGTAAATTTTGGATTCGGCATATCGATAAAAGATGCGCAGGCGGGCTGCCGACTACCGGCGCCCGGTTCGAAGGAAGTTTTCAGTTTGGATCTGGGTGCTTCTCGGTTTACTCTGTATTGCTGGATTTATTTTCTTATTTTTTCTACAGAATCAAGAATTTAAAGATCGAGTAGAACAGCCCATACTGGTAAGATTTTATAACCTAACCCTTATAATATCTTTGAAATTTCATTTCTACAATCGCAATTATTGATGGTGTTCATTCATAATAAGACAATTACAATTTATTCAACACAATTAGTTTATATTGAAAACCCTAGTTTTAGGCAGGCAATCACAATTCCTTGAACACTTTATACACATCAATGCAATCAATGCAATCATAACACCTTCCTTGCTTCTTGAATTTGTTGTCTATTGACTATTGCATCTGCATACATTACCATGTACTCAATTCATACCCTTTTCAGGATCAAAAATCTGGAACTCTACAATTCCCTCATACAAACCAAAATGTAACCGATGAGTCAGCAAATCCAAATTCATATGCCAGACAATTACTCGAACAAATGACACTAGCAAAAGCCTACATTGTCATTGCAAAAGAACACAACAATCATCATCTTGCATGGGAGCTAACTTCAAACATCAGAACATGTCAATTCCTTCTTTCAAAAGCAGCCATGAAAAACACCCAAATGACACAACAAGAAGCTCAACCACTCATCAAAACCCTTTCAACTCTCATCTTCAAAGCACAAGAATCCCATTATGACATTGCAACCACAATCATGACCATGAAATCTCACATCCAAGCTCTTGAAGAACGTGCAAATGCAGCCACTATTCAAAGCACTCTTTTTGGTCAATTAGCTTCCGAATCACTTCCCAAGAATCTCCACTGTTTAAACATCAAACTTTTATCAGATTGGCTCACAAACAACACGTTACATGACATTACAAATGAGATCAAAAACTCACCAAGATTACTAGACAACAATCTTTATCATTTCTGTGTGTTTTCAGATAACTTACTAGCTGTTTCAGCTGTAGTCAACTCCACAATCTCAAACACTTTACACCCTAAACAAATCGTATTCCATGTTGTCACAAATGAAGCAAACTATGGAGCCATGCAAGCTTGGTTTGCAACTAACAACTTCAAAGGGTGTACAATTGAAGTAAAAAAGATCGAAGATTTGACTTGGTTGACTTCTTCATATTCACCCGTGGTTAAAAAACTAACCCAACCAGAGTTTCGTGCGTATTATTTCCAAGGGTCTTTAGACAATGAGCCAAAATTTGGAAACCCGAAATACGTATCTTTATTAAACCACCTTCGATTCTACATCCCTGAAATCTACCCTCACCTTGAGAAAGTCATATTTCTTGATGATGATGTCATCGTTCAAAAAGATTTGACTCCTTTATTCTTGTTAGATCTTCATGGAAATGTAAATGGAGCTGTTGAAACGTGTCTTGAATCTTTCCATAGATTCTACAAGTACTTGAACTTTTCAAATCCTGTTTTGAGTTCGAAATTTGATCCACAAGCATGTGGTTGGGCTTTTGGTTTGAATGTCTTTGATCTTGTTGCATGGAGGAATGCTAATGTGACAGGTGTTTACCATTTTTGGGAAGAACAGAATAGTGAAGGGATGTTATGGAAGTTAGGGACTTTGCCACCTGGATTATTGGCTTTTTATGGAAGAACAGAGCCACTTGATAGAAGATGGCATGTGTTGGGGTTAGGGTATGATATGAACATTGATAACAGGTTGATTGAAAGTGCAAGTGTGGTTCATTTTAATGGGAACTTGAAGCCATGGTTGAAGTTTGGGATTGGAAAATATAAGGTGTTATGGGAACAGTATGTGAACAGAAGTCATCCTTATCTTTTCGATTGTGTTGTGAATTGAGAGGATTAGAAGGAGAAAATGTAGAAAATTTTGGTATTGTTTTAGATGTTTTGTTTTATTGTTCGTAAGTTATATTGTTTCTTTTTTGAAGAGGGGTCTTATACACAAGATGAAAAAAGTGTATTATTTATTGATTTTGTAAGGCATAGAAGCAATTTTTGTGTAATAACTGAACTATTTTTTGCATTGAATAGGAGTTGATTCATTCAACTCATTAAAGTTAATTATATAAACAAAATTTGTGCATTAGAAGATATGTAGTTAGTCGAAGAGAAGGAAATGTATTTTATGTATAATGCCATCTATAAAGGAATAAGTTTAAACTCGTGGTTAATTCTTGCACCTATGCATTCATGCAAACCTTTAAGGGGTCGTTTGGTTCGCTGGAATCGGAAGGAATTAGAATTTAATTCCATTAATTTCCTATGTTTGGTTCAAGTTTTGAGAAGGAATTGGATTCCTAAATGTGTCCAACTTTTCTTCTACCGAGGGAAAATAAATTCCATCTAAAAGATAAGGAAATTCAAATTCCTTCAAGTGGGAATGTTGAAGATTACCATATTACCCTTTTCATTTTTAACATTAAATATTAAAAACCTCTGTCACTACTCGCGACCACCTTCACCACAACCTACGCCACCACTACCCACCACCTCCACTACCACCCACCACCACCACTAACCATCCCCACTGATGTCGTCGCCAGTGCCACCACCTTCGCCACCACCACCCACTACTACCACCTCTTCCATTACCACTACCACCACCATCACCATCGTCTACACCACTACCACCACCACCATCACCACCACTACCACTACCACCACCACCCATAACGTCTGTTACCACCTACACCACCACCCTACCACTACCGTTGTTACTACTAACTCTATAATCACCACCACCACCTCTATTGGCACCACCACCACCACCGTCGCCACCACCCACACCCACCAGGCCACCACCACCACCGACATCCACCACCACCACCGCTGCCACTAACACCCACCGCCACAACCACAACTGCCTCTACCATCAACACTAGTGATGCCACTACCACCACCACCACACACTGCCGCCATCACCACCACCGTCGCTTCTACCACCATCGTCGCCGCCACCACCACTGTTTACTATTTTTATAATTATATATATATATATATATATATATATATATATATATATATATATATATATATATTAAATCCCATGGGGTTTTGGAACATGAATCTTTAAGGTTTCTGAATTTGGCCACATCATTTTTGTCATTTACATTTTGACCCATAAAAAAAAACTTCTAACCCATGCAAAGCATGGGCCCTTTCCTAGTTTATATAATGTATCTTTACATATAATTATAAAACAAAGTAAAAGTAAGCAAAAACCAAGAATGATAGTTCTGTCATTTTACACTATTCCAATTCCATTTTCCGCCAACCAAACAAAATATAAAATTGGATTCAAATTCCATTTACTGGTAACCAAACAAAATATTGAATTAGATTCCAAATCAAGACAAATTTCAATATCTTAACATAATCCAATTCCTTCAAAAACATTCTGTGAACCAAACGCCGCCTTAAAATTTTGGAAGGCATAATCCTCACATGAAGAGATAGTAACAGGCTCCTTAATAGATAAAGTTCTATATGGATGACTGATTTGCCTGATTATATAAAAAGATTGTTTTGTTTGGGCAAGAACAAGATGGAACGAGGGAGGGTATGCAAATAAAAATTGGGGAGGAAGGGCATAAAAGGGTAAGAAATATAAGTGTATGTGTTAATAACTCTATGAATTGTTTCAGATTTTGTTTCATAAATAGCATCTCTACAGCAAAATGTCGATTCTAAGTGTAGGTATTAGAGACTCTTTGATTCATAAATTACATCTCGATAAATTTGTTAGTTTGTTTTTTACTACATGATTTGTGTAAGTGGGTTTTTAACTAAGCATTCCTTTAGCCAAGAGAAATGTAGAGTAGGCCTTGCCAAAATTTGCATAAAAAGACAATCAACCATTAAGGTATCATTTCATTTGATCCCTTTTCAAGCCAAGTGCCTGAAAAGAACAAAATTATTTCACCAAGGTATCATGGTATATCATAATATCTACTTCACAAAGGGAAGATACCCTCCTAGTAGATTCCTCTTAGTGCCTCTTATGAGGTATCATTGTACGAACAATTTTCAATGTGCATTTTTACTTTCTTTCTAGCTTTCACATTCAAACATTATCAATAATCATATCATCGTTTATAATAACATAGACTACTAGAAATATATACTTTGAAAAGACACATTTCATATATCAAAACATTTGTTCTTCCAAACATTTTTGCTTTCTAAACGTTTTTACTTTCAAGGCATTCTTTTCAAATGTAGTTAACACTTTCATTTCAAAACATTTCATATATCAAGGCATTGGTATTTCATTATCAATAAAATCATTTTTCCATGTAGCCCAAAGTGCGAAAATGCAAAGACATACTCAACTCAATCACACGAAGATTGGCTAGTCCTTTTCTAATTCTTTTCCTTGGAGCAACACTCTCAAACACCACTTATATTAAATGTATTAAAGTCAATAAATGACCAAAATACCCCTCATAGGTTCCATCACTAATTTTTATTGCTTCAACTCATTCGTTATGTAAAAATATCAATCTATGCGAAAACCACAACGTAAATCCGAGTATGTATGCAAAAGTTATGAGGAAAATGCTAAAGTTCAGATTTTGGTCAAGCTAAGCTTTTTGACCCCTGAACATGGGTTGCGCACCCGACCGCGGGTCGCCCCATGAGGCAACCCTAACACACCTAAAAACTCACTTTTTGAGTGGATGGTTTTGGTCTTTTAGGTAACCAATTGTAACACCTTTAAATGTTTCCAAGAACTATTAGAGGACGTTTTATCATGTCAAACATTTAACTAAATTCATTAAGTGATCATTAAGAATTTGTCAAACATTAAAAACTAGAGTATCGGTTTATTACGTTTTGATACCAAATAAATTAATTTAAATATATTTCAAAACTCATTTTGACACTGGATAAATTAAAAATCACTTTTACAAATGAACATAAAGATGTTTTAAATAAACAACCCCGAACACGATATCCCTACATAGTTGCCAATAATCTTAAAATCGACATCAATGTGTGGTCTAGAAAATTCATGAACACGTTTTGGCCTTGAACATAACCTCAAGGAATCAATTAATAACCGTAATACGAAATGAACTGCATACTATTTTTTTTTGAAAGACACTAAAGTATAAAAAAAAAAAAGAAAATGTTAACAGGACAACTACAACCAGTACACAAACAACAACAAAACTCCAAGAACAAAATTACAAATATAAGTACTAAAAGGTGTAATACCTGTCAAAACAACTAGATCACCCCATAAACAGGAAAACCCTAACAAAACAAAACAAGAAACCCCACACTTAGCAACATACTTAAGAGACACATCCAAATTAAACCAACTAGCAGATGCTTGAAGAGGCAAAAGGTGTAATACTTGTCTTTTGTGATCATGTGTCCCTATAGAATATATAAAACAATATGATGCGAGTAGGAGAAATAGAGCATGACGTTACTTTAAATTGAGAAATTCTACTTAGCAAAAGACAATTAAGTAATGTTGTAGAGCTTGTTGAGAGGATTCCTTGGATATAAAGATCGTCGAAAACAGAGTTCGTATGAGAAATTTATGGCCGTTTGAAGTTGAGACGAGAGTACGTTGCTATTTTGAGAAAGTCAACATATGTACGTCAACGGTCAACTCTTGAATCTCACGACGTGGAGGAATGTTTGCCACGACATGGCGTTACGTATGTCATGATGTGACAGTAAGTATGCCACGATGTGACAGTAAGTATGCCACGATGTGAAGAGTGACGAGTCATCGGAACATTCAAGAGTGATACGTGTCAAAACCAGAGTCGATTGGTCCTCACGACGTGATACATATATGGTCACGATGTGAGATTAGTCAGATCATCAAGACACATCGTAGAATAGTACAATACATGTCGACGTTAGATTGTCATGACGTGACACTTATGAGGTCACGACGTAACTAACATCTGGCTATAAATACAAGAGCTTTTGTGTCATTTGAGAGAGTTTGGCACACATGATTGAAGATGCTGCTCGGGGGTCGTTTGCGGGAGATTTCTACGGTGAATTTATATCGTTATATGGGTAATATGAGGGTTGAGTTACGATATACATCGAGGTATCTTTTACCCGTTAAATTTTATTTACGATATGTGATTATTGTTTAGATCTGATAGGCCCGAGTATATTATGGGTATTCGTGATACGGTACTGTTACAAACCCTTTGGTAAGATTGTGAGTAAATTTTATGATTTAGATTTAGTCGAGACTGTCGGGGTTATACACCCTAATATTTGAGAATTTACCTATTATGATAGATTTAGCTAACGGCTTACCGGTTAAGCCTACTATGATTATATTATGAGATTTGATTATTATTGTAACGAGTAGTCATAGAGTATATCTAGTAGTGAGTTGAGACAAGTTCTTAGGAACTTCTTATGTAGTAACTAGGTATTACCATATGTCGAGCTGATAGGAAGCAAATGATTGAAACAGAAACTGGAATTAGTCTGCTAACTAACCAGGTGAGTAACACTACTCTAACATCCATTGATGTATTGTTTGTGATATATATTGCGTGATTTATATGACAAACTATTTAAGAGTAATGAACTAATACTGGTGAAATCGATTATTCTGAGAGATAAATATCTGATTGAAAGATTGATTCTGATTGATGAGATAGATTATAATTCAGAGATAAGTTACATTAAAGATAGAATATTTTTGAGTAATTGTTTACAATAGATTTGTGACATAATGTCACACTCCTAAACCGGAACGGCGGAAACGTTCGGGGGCGGAGGACGTCATGTTTAGTATCACAACACATGCATCATAGTAATCAAAGTAACAAACAACCATTTCATTATAATGAAAGTGTTTACAAAGTATGTTGTTCACACAAGATAGTCTTCAAAAGTAAATAACAAAACAAGACATGAAGCTACTATGCTCCATCTTCTGAATCCCAGTGCGCGTACCTGTCTACTGTTCTCCTGAGAATACAAGTTATTCTGAAAG